CCAACTAAAAAATAAAACATTAATTTTAGTAAGTTTTGGTGGGGTTTGGGTGGTGTGAAAAATTGGGGTGCTTTTCAGGATATTATCAAAATAACCTTTCTACTGTTATCTGTACATAACATATTTATAACTGATACCAATCACCCCACGCATTTTTACAATAAAATATTTTTTTCTTACACTATTTTTAATTCAAATTTATTAAAATTAATTTTCTATATTTTAGTTGGGTTTTCTATAAAAGCGTACTTTGTTAGTTTTTTTAAACTATTATTTATTTTTATTTTTTTAGTTGAATATCAATTTTTTCATAAAAATTTTTCATATTTTTTTTATGTTTAATTGTCATCGGTCCTTAATAAGTATACCAAATTTCGAGTTAATCCAACGTTTTGTAGGGGGTCAAAATCATGTTCAAAGATTCCATTGCATACTAACATACGTACGTCTGAAGCTATTAAAAGCGTAATAAAAATGCTCTACTTCGTTTTAAAGATGCCTAATCGTATTATTGAATCTGAAATATTCAAATTCATATTGTGTTCAAGACATATTTTACCAGAAAATATGTTCAGATGAAAGCTTTAGGCCGATTTTGAATAGAAACGTGGAGTGACTGGCTCATTGTGATCGCTGGCTGCTAGCCGGCACTTACGAAATAATATTTTATTTGCTTATTGTACAATACATATAATTAATAATTATTAAATATATTAAACATAAACTAACACACACATTTTAGCGTTCATTCCTTCACATCTTCACAACTTTGACAAAAATTGAAATGAACGCATTATTTGTATACCGTGATCTTAAGGTAATCATACTTGCTTTTAGCGGTTAGCTTTTGAGCAAAACCAAAACTCCCATTTTTTGTTTGTTAATCTGTTTGTACCTTTTAAGCGACTGAACACCAGTAGCGATTCTAACATGACTTTTGTTCTTGAACTAGAGAATTTGTATAAAAATACTATACTAATACTTATAAATGGGATATAACACTAGCTACAAGAGTTGAAATAATTTGATATAGACTACAATGCTTATAAAATATCTAAATTAGTAAAAACACAATAAATTGTGAATATCCTAGAGTTACCGAGGTCACACAGACGCACATTAATTATACAGTACACTCCTTAACTGTTATGTAAGAAACGGATATGTAATTGTAAGTTGAATAGTAAGGAAGCCTTGGGGACAATCAAATAAAACAATGACCGGGAGATTAACCCGTAAAAACTAGTCTTAGTCTTCGAATATGTCTGCGACTGGCGAAAACTAAAAAAAATACAATAATATTAATATGTTTAGTGCCGCGCAGTAATCTGTGCGTTAAGTAGGAAGGAATCAAACGCGAAGTGCTAACTATTGAGGATGTCCTATAGTCGACCCGCTGGATATTCGCATCGTTGGCTGGGCTTTAAGCTCGGCAAACAAGGAGTGCAGGAAGAAGGAGAGCCGTCACGAGGTCGTATTATTCGCTGATGATACATCATTATTGTTTAAAATTAAACGACATTTGGAAGATTATGACGATGTGAATGATGCTATCTCGCGCGTGGTACATTGGTTTAGTGTTAATAATCTGTTATTAAATAACAAAAAAACAAAATGTATAAAATTTACCACACCTAATGTTAGACAAGTTGACACTAATATTANACTCGGCATTGGGTGGACGCAGGTTGAAAAAGGAAAGACATAATACACACTTTATTTTGCAAAATTTTACTATAATTCAGAAGGTAAGATACTATAGCATATGTAACAGAATCCATGCCTAAATGTTTAAATGATTTATTTTCCAATGATCCGGTTCTAACTCCACGTGCCGTTCCCATGAAACGATTTAAAATGATCAAACGAGTGGATAAATTGGCGTGCCAATTTTTTCTTTCGCACTTCAAATAACTTATAGGGTTGCATTAGTATTTATCAAGATATGAAAACACGTTTCGTGTCAAGATTTTTTGCCAATATTCAACACGAGAAAGCTGGTCTTTCAATGAAAACAGTAAAAAAATTGAAATGAAATTTTTATTATAATATGTAATATATCCCCTATAATCCTAAACGTTCAACTACTACCTGTTCATAGATTTAAGAAAACTGTTAAGGAACGTTTGTGCAACAAGGCATATTATAAAGTTAAGGATTATTTACTAGATGGCACTACGTGGGAATGAGGCGCTCGCTCCTGGCCTTTTCATTTTTCATTATTATTATTATTTTTTTAATTGTATTTTTTTGACTTGTTTTTTCTTTTATTGTGAATATTTCTATTTATTTAAAAAAAAAAAAATATTTGAGAAAAAACAAAAAAAAAAGCCCGCTGAGTTTGTTTCGCCGGTTCTTCTCAGGACTGTGGCTTTTTTTTGGAACCGGTGGTAGAGTTAACATTGTTATTTGTATTTTGACATTCAACAAGTGTGTCATACTGACATCTAAGTTGAAATAAATGATTTTGAATTTGAATTTGAATTTGAGCTTGGCAGCAGTACGCCTGCCAGTGGCTTACGACCGGATGAGGTCCTTGATACTAGCTCTAAGGTTCAAGTCGTCTCAAGTATCGCTAAATTCTTGAAAATATAGCCTTTGGAGCAAGCATGAAATATGAGTTCCTATAACATTATAACTATAGATATTCTACCACATACGAGCTTTCCGGGTAACAAAATATGTAGCAAAATATTGATGCTATTCATTCATCGTGGATGTCACCTGAGAGTGCTTTCATTGGTATAAAATGATCTTATAAAAACCGATTAAGCCACAACACAATCTACAGTTTCATTGCGTCGTATGAAGTCCTAGACGCGTAAGAATACTATTGTTGAACGAACCCAAACTAGCTCGTCTAGTAAACGAAGTGAGGCCAATACGGATGGAGGCGAGTAAATGAGAAAGCGTTACGTCCTGACGAGTCGAGACACTAATGTTCCAGCGATTGGCTTCCTAATTACATCTCGCAACTCTTTGTTTCCATCTACGTGATCTTATATATACATAACGTATTATGTATCTGTTTCTATAAACGTTAAAGTAAAATTAGTAATAGTACCGAAATGGACGAGTAGCACGTAGATATATTTGAAGACGTCGTGGCCTAAGAGATAAGACGTCCGGTGCATTCGTGTTGAGCGATGCAACGGTGTTCGAATCCCAGGATTGTTCGAATTCCAGTGTGGAAGTCAATCGTGGCATTTGTTGAGTACGTAATTCATTAGAAAAATTGGTAGGCGGGTACCAATTTTTCTAATGAATTACGTACTCAACAAATGCCACGATTGACTTCCACAGTGAAGGAATAACATGGTGGTAGGACCTCTTGTAAGTCCGCGCGGATAGGTACCACCGCCCTGCCTATTTCTGCCGTGAAGCAGTAATGCGTTTCGGTTTGGAGGGTGGGGCAGCCGTTGTAACTATACTGAGATCTTAGAACTTATATCTCAAGGTGGGTGGCGGCATTTACGTTGTAAATGTCTATGGGCTTCAATAACCACTTAACATCAGGTGGGCTGTGAGCTCGTTCTACCCATTTAAGCAATAAAATAAAAAAATAAAAAATGTATCCGCTGGACACACGGATTTAAAATTGGAGAAAATGCACATTTACACAAGTTGATTATTTAAGTTTTCTTTTAAATAGCTGTGGGGTTTTCTATTCAAGCTGGGCCAGTGAAACGGTCGATGGCTTCACGCAAACTTGATTTAATTGCGTCTTTCTTAATCTATTAAACTAAAATATAAACGCCTTACGTCTTCAGAGTTACAACGCGTCTATTTAATTTTGCCGTCGCGACCGGTAACTACCCTCCTCTCACTTAAAAAATAACATCGTGTAATAAAAGTGAAACCCGCAAAATTATAATTTGCGTAATTAGTGGTGATAGGACCTCTTGTGAGTCTGCGCGGATAGGTACCACCCCCTGCCTATTTCTGCCGTGAAGCAGTAATGCGTTTCGGTTTGAAGGGTGGGGCAGCCGTTGTAACTATACTGAGATCTTAGAACTTATATCTCAAGGTAGATGGCGGCATTTACGTTGTAAATGTCTATGGGCTCTGGTAACCACTTAACACCAGGTGGGCCGTAAGCTCGTCCACCCACTTAAGCAATAAAAAAAACACAAGTAAAGGCGTGGCAAGCCCTCTAAAGTTTTGTTCACCAAGTAACACCAAGATAAGTCCAGAGTTGCGACGGCTGCCATTCAAGAAGCTGACTTCGAATTAATGGAACATCCTCCATATTCACGAGAATTAAAATTAAATAATAAAATTAAAATAACAACACATAAAAAATAATTGCGTGTTACTCATTATTAGTTTTTAATGAGCACCCCTAGCATATTATCCTCTAGAATAATAGTGGTGCGTAATTTTAAATTGTAGTGAATAATAAATACTATGAATGCTAATAACATTTCACAGTTCATAAAATGTTCTTGGTTGTATCTATATTGATCATTAATTTAAATGATGCGTCTAGCGCCATCTATCGCTGAGTAGCAATATGAAACTTGGATTGTACATACTCTTAAAATTGAAGTCTCGTAATTTATTACTTAAAAGAGTCACATAGCAGTGATTTTATATTATACGTAAATTGAGAAGATACAAAGTCTATTGTATGAAAAATAATCTAATTTTTGGAAAAAACACAAAGATTGTATCAGGACAGAAGCATAAATAAACTGGTTCAGACAAAAGCTATGTAGTTACTGTTATTTCTGCTAGATGGCAGCAAAAACGTTTAGTTGATGTCGGAAAAAATATATTTTATGTGTTATAAAGAAATTTTACTGTTATAAATGAATAATACAAAGATCATGCAATATTATTTATTTAATTAAGATTTATTTATATTAGTGTATTGTAGAATAAATGCTAAATAGAAATAGACATCTACTCTTTTATGTTTATTATAAACTGTACTGGATTTTCATACAATATTTTAAACCTAAGTGGGTTATTTGTTTTCTCTAAAGTTAAACATCGTTTCACTTGGTTCCTTTAGTGTTCCTTGGAGTGGAAGACTGGCTGGCAGTAGGAGTTATCGTCGTACTGGAGGGAATAAATCTGAAATGACATGAATAAGGTATTTAAGTCAAGTAGAATATAATTTGTCTAATAATAATTATTATTTTTTGTCTCAAAGGTGTTTGTGACAGTGTTCACGTTGCGATCTACGGACTCAGACGAACAAACATAATTTTAAAAAGTTGCAGTTAAAAATTAGTAATAAAAAAGTAGTTTTTAATATTGGAAATTCGAAATTATGTTTTAAACACCTTTTTTGTTTCATATATTACCAACAGATGGCGCTATATAAGAAATACGTAAACTTTTTAAGTTGTCACTTTAGCAAAACATGAATTTCTAAAGAAATTATTTCTACAGAAACGAATTAAAAAAGATAAAAGTGAAACTTGAAATAAATGTATACTTTGGGTTTTTGATGATTATATGTCTAATTTTTATCACTGGACAACCACTAGCACATAAAAGGGGCAAAACAAAATGGTTCCCAACATTTTTTTGTCCGTTTGTTCACCGATTTTATTTTGATGTGAAGTTTTAAAGTTTTCAAGTCAGTTTCTTTGCAATGCCTACGTCCATAACAAGACAAAAAAGGAAATATAGTGCATACAATGAATATTCAACTTTAAGTGCCAGTTATTGTGATAGAATTTCGATTTTCGGAATAAGTCTAGTGATAGTTCAATGTTATTTGATATAATACATCAATGACGGAAATTCTAATCCGACGAATTTTTATTATCACCAGAAAAATTTGACCGCGAGCAGAGAGCGTATCCATACCGCGTGGAGTCCTCAGCAGCTGGACAAGGAATACTTTCCTCATTGCCGACTATTGGTTTCCGATGCGGCACAGTAAGGTACCTATGGGGCAAACGTACTTAAGCACTCTTTTATATGCTTCAATAATATCTTCGGCTCGCTCCACGGCCGAGGGCTCGTACGTCTTCAGAGCCAGGTATGGGGCTCCTATGTTCACCGCACTGGACATCTGGAAACAATAACACGCTTATAGCGTTAATGAATAGGGCTGCCAAACGCTCAGTTGGTTATACTTATAAAATTATGTTATTCTATCAACCCACAGACGTCCATTGTTGGACGTAGGCCTCCCCCAAGCCTCGCCACAAAGATCGGTCTTGCGCTGTCTGCATCCAGCGGATCTCCGCGAACCTCAATAGGTCTTCGGTCCATCTTGTGGGAGGCCTAAATATTGACTAAAATTATATTAAATTAGGTGTTAATAATATTTATACTAGTTTACATAATTACACCAAATAGATTGCGCAGCAAGTTGAAATCTTGCGTCCGTATTTATATTTGAGCTGAGAAACAAAGACGGGCGCACCTCGCGTCGAGTCCGTTGACCCCATGTGCGTGCACAAAGTACTCGTATTGTTTTCCTATGCTGTTGTCTTGTCGGTGTGTTCTAATTCAGCGGCACTGCCGCCTCAGCATCCGTTTTAGAGATCGGACGGAGCCTCACATCGCCACGGCAATCGAATTAAAAAAAATCCAATATTACTTATTTTCTAAGAAAATACCGTAGAAAGAATTTAGAAAATATTGTTCACGAATAACGTCCAGGTCTGCGGTTGAATTTAGGAAAAGATACAGTCGAGACTAGACGATAAGCTGCTCTGAATGCCATTTCAAGTTTTCACAACGAAAATTGGGCATCTGTAACTGAAAAAAGACTAACATCTCTAAACTTAATTTTCTTGCCCCGTATAGCTCAGACGATCCTTGGAGTCCAGTAGACACAGAGTCACTTGATTTCAGTGAGAGAATTAAGTATAACGTGGTTTAACGAATTTTATGAATAACTAGCCGCCCGCTCCGGCTCCGCTCGGGTCTTTAACAAAAACTGCTTTAACGACGTTGTTTTATTTGTTTAAATAAAGAAAACCTATTGCGGCATAACTATAATAGTTAGACATATGCCGTCGCTACACTTTATGTAAATAATAAGTTCTACAAAGTCGTAGTACATTATTTTATTCTATCATCAATAGTTTTCGCAGGGCACGCGATGTAAAGAATATTTTAGGTAGTTTTTTACACCTTGGATTATATTATTGGAGTTTTAGTAAGAATCCCTAATTTTTTTTTTCAAAAAAGATTATAGCCTATGGCACTCGGGAATAGTGTAGCTTCGAAACAGTGAAAGAATGTATCAAATCGGTTCAGTAGTTTCGGAGTCTATTCAATACAAACAAACAAATCTTTCCTCTTTATAATATTAGTATAGACAAAAGTTTAGGTCTTTTATTTGGCCATTGAGGCACTACAAAGTCTGTCGGATCAGCTAGTTTACCATATTTTTGGGCTAGCATCACCGTAATGTTGACAGGGAGAGTTGGAGACAATGTCATACGGTATGAGTTGGCCCCAATGTCATGCAGTATGAGTTGGCTCCAGCAGCTTTCCGTGGGTCCGGAGTGCGCGCTCTCGCCTTCCCGTTCTACTTACGGATTCATTTCGGTCGCTCAGCTCAGCCAGTTTCTTGTGCAAGTCGTGCTTCAAGCCTTGCATCAAGACGAAGTTCTTCTCTAATATCCCTTCCAGACCTGTGAGGGATGTTACCGATTAAAGACATCGTTTTTTTATTTTATTTGAGAGATCCTTTCCATTTTTACCAGGGCAGGTGGGCGCGAGCAAAGGCTCAGCCAGGAGGGGTGGGATTTGCTAACAGCTACCTGAGCACCTCCAAGGGAGACCTAACAACTCAGGAGTAGCTGCTTCGCAAATAAATCTACTACCGGATCGGAATCGCGACCTGCTGAGAAAATCCGGCGAGAAACTCAGCGAGCTGATGTTTAGGTTTGAAAATACATCGTTTGTTCCTATGGCTTCTTTAACCAAGTATAGGTGAGTTAATATTTGTGTAAGGACAATTTGTGTAGTTGGTTTTATAATGTAAGAGATAGCACGGATCTGATGCACTTATTAAAGCTTCCGAAGGTATCTGAAGGCAGATGTGCACACGGTGCTTCCTACACAACCAATATAACCATGAGCACTGATAAGGTATATCTTACCAGCTTTCTTGAGGATTTCATCCAAATCTTTGTTGATGTGATCAGTTCCAGGTGGCTCCGAGGGTGTGGAGAGGCGAGGAGACAGAGTCTGAGGGGAGCGCTCTGATAGACAAACATAACGCTTTGTTATTTGATTTTGTGTGCAACCCCTGCCTGCTTTTATGATTGAAGTATTACTGGTGGCCCAGAGGCCTTTCCAGTTTCACCAGGACAGGTGGGCGAGCAAAGGCTCAGCCAAGAGGGGTGGGACTAGCTAACAGCTGCCCGAGCGCCTCCGAAGGAGACCTAACAACTCAAGAGCAGCTGCTTCGTTAATGAATCTACTATCGGATCGGAATCGCGATCCGCTAAGACGACCCGGCAAGAAATTCAGTGAGCTGATGCATGGGTTAGGTTGCGCGTCGACCTCTTTGTCGAGTTCGACGAGTACGGTTACCGGGGTCCCTAAGCCTGCTCCTAGTGTTAGAGCTGAAGGTATCCCCTACCTGTCTGCGTCTGTTAGACGTACCGGGCGTGCGGGCGGGGCTGCGGCGGCTGAGGTCCCACAGCGAGGGCCGGCGCGGGCGGCGCGCGGGGCCGGGGGGCGGCAGGGGGGAGCTGCCCGCGGGCCGCACGCGCACTCGACACGCGTACTCGCAGCACGTCACCATCACCTCGCTGCGGCTGTACTTCGCATACTCCCTGGTCGAGAGCAGAGACCATTTACAAAATGGTAAGGTGATAAAAACGATTTATTAAAACATTACTGGTGGTAGGACGCCTTGTGAGTCCGCACGGGTAGATACCACCACCCCGCCTATTTCAGCCGTGACGTTTTTTTTTATTGCCTTTGTAGGCAGACGAGCATACGGCCCACCTGATGGTAAGTGGGCACCGTCGCTCATGGACGTCAGCAATGCCAGGGGCAGAGCCAAGTCGCTTCGGCTTCGGCGTTTCGGTTTGAAGGGCGGGGCAGCCGTTGTAACTATACTGAGACCTTAGAACTCATATATCAAGGTTAGTGACGAATTTACGTTGTAGATGTCTATGGTTTATCCGATAACCACTTGGCACCAGGTGGACTGTGAGCTCGTTCATCTAAGCAATTAAAAAAAAAACATTAAATATTATGTTTCCACTTGAAATACCAGTTAAAATTTGCGCGCATAGATGAATCCAAAGTGGAAAATACTACAGCAGGTTTCATGATAAATGACGGAACTGTCTTGATGGTTCGCCCAAATAAAAACTCACGGGTCGTCCTCGAATCTATCAGGCATCTTTCCTTCATCGGCTTCAGAGACCAGCACCAAACCTCCACCGGAGACTGGATACACGCTGGAGCCCCTCCTAGAAGACGCCGGTTTTTCCAAAGTCTCTTCTGTTTTTCGCAATGGGCCTACAAGTATGGAAGTACATAGAGAACGAATATCTTCGCAGTACATTTATGATCAGAAATTAAGAGAGTCAGGTTGAATAAATAGGTGTCTAGGTGAATACGGCCTGTGGTGTGGTGTTGTTGCTCTTGACGCATTCACTTAAGTCTTAGTGGCAAAGTACTGACACACACAATGTATTGAACACCGCCACCTATGTACTTCTTTTTTTTTTCTTCTTAGATGGGTGGACGAGCTCACAGCGCACCTGGTGTTAAGTGGTTACTGGAGCCCATAGACATCTACAACGTAAATGCGCCACCCACCTTAAGGTATAAGCTCTAAGGTCTCAGTATAGCTACAACGGCTGCCCTACCCTTCAAACCGAAACGCATAACTGCTTCACGGCAGAAATAGGCAGGGCTGTGGTACCTACCCGCGCGGACTCACAAGAGATCCTACCACCAGTCTGATTGTCCAGCTTCACCAGGATGGGTAGGCTCAAAAATATTTTCGTATTTCTGAATCTATCAACTTTCTAAGGTGACCTCATGAGGTGTGTTGATAGTAGATTTAAATGCTTTAGTTCTTCATTCTGATCTAGTGTAACAGGCGCTTTATAGAAAAACATTTCTTTAATTAATTAAGAAAAGTATATATATGAAAGTATATATATTGGCGTCTTTGCACACATAGTTGATCCAGCCCGATCCCTATTTACTATTTGATCCACCTTTGCACGCGAATAACGTTGTTCCGTTTCGACATATTTTGCCCAGAGTGGCAACGTTGCATTTTGTTTTGCGATGTTGCCAGATATATTCCATAAAAAAAGTATCTACTCCAGTTTTCACTTCGTCGAAAGTTTAGATAAATGTGAATCCGTAACGGCTATTTTTATTGTACTCACTCGTAAAATTTGGATCCGATATATGCCATAATTACAACACTGAAGTTGATCCAGTATAATATATATATTAGGACGAAACGGTTAACTTCTGATCCGCGATAGGGGTGGGCAGCGCGGGGCTGTGCGAGACGGTCAACAGCTTATTTTTCTTATTACCTACTTTTATTACAACATTGATTGACTTTATTACAACATTGTGTTCTCACCCACTACTACAAAGACGATTTCATCTTATCTATATTTATTATTAACTAGTCGAAGATTTATTTATTTATATTAAATACAAGACCCATGACGTCGTTCGCGCGGATTTGTTTCGACCCCGGATCGATTCCCGGACCGCCCAAAATTGAGTTTTTTACGAGATGAAATCTACCTAACTCCTTATATCTACCTAGTAGTAAAATATTCTGAAAATCTATTGAACCGTTTTGAAGATTACTCTAATCTAAAGCTTTGGGGAGCGCCCTCGACAGTTTATTGGCTCCATCATCAGATCGAACCCAGACTTTTATTAGATTTTAGTGCTTTCAAATACTTTTTCCTCTGTTGATCCTGACGTCTGTGCGGACCGTCTTAAAGACGTGGTGCTCCAGGGGATGGAATTGTTTATCCCCTCCTCTGAAGTGCCCGTTGGGGGTCGCAGCAGACCCTGGTATAACAATGCCAGCAGGGATGCTGCACACCTCAAGCGCTCCGCATACGTTGCATGGGATGATGCCAGGAGACGTCGGGATCCTAACATCCCAGAGGAAAGGCGGAAATATAACGCCGCTTCTAAGTCCTACAAGAAGGTTATTGCCAGGGCGAGGTCGGAGCACGTTGCGAGAATCGGCGAGCGACTGAAGAGCTATCCCTCTGGAAGCCGTGCTTTTTGGTCGCTCGCCAAAGCTGCAGAAGGAAACTTTTGCAGGTCTAGCCTCCCACCACTACGCAAGTCCGATGACAGTCTGGCCCATAGTGCGAAAGAGAAGGCTGACCTGGTCAAAGTCTTCGGCTCGAACTCGACTGTGGACGACGGGGGTGCCACACCACCGAACATCCCCCGGTGTGATAGTTCCCTGCCGGAGATCTGCTTTACACAGTGTGCAGTCAGACGGGAACTCCGACTCCTGGACGTCCATAAGTCGAGTGGGCCAGACGGCATCCCTGCAGTGGTTCTGAAAACGTGTGCCCCTGAGCTGACGCCTGCGCTAACGCGTTTGTATCGCCTCTCCTATTGCGCTAACAGGGTTCCGTCTTCATGGAAGACTGCCCACGTCCACCCTATCCCCAAGAAGGACCCATCGAGCTATAGGCCTATCGCGATAACTTCCTTGCTTTCCAAGGTGATGGAGCGGATAATGAATATACAACTCCTGAAGTATCTTGAAGATTGCCAGCTGATCAGTGACCGACAGTACGGTTTCCGTCACGGTCGCTCAGCTGGCGATCTTCTTGTATACCTTACACACAAGTGGGCTAAAGCCTTGGAGAGCAAAGGCGAAGCTCTTGCTGTGAGCCTTGATATCGCGAAGGCTTTCGACAGGGTCTGGCATAGGGCACTTCTATCGAAGCTACCATCTTACGGAATCCCTGAGGGTCTTTGCAAGTGGATCGCTAGCTTTTTGGATGGGCGGAGCATCACGGTCGTTGTAGACGGTGACTGTTCTGATACCATGACCATTAACGCTGGCGTTGCACATGGTTCGGTGCTTTCCCCCACGCTTTTCATCCTGTATATCAATGACATGCTGTCTATTGATGGCATGCATTGCTATGCGGATGACAGCACGGGGGATGCGCGATATATTGGCCATCAGAGTCTCTCTCGGAGCGTGGTGCAAGAGAGACGATCAAAACTTGTGTCTGAAGTGGAGAACTCTCTGGGGCGAGTCTCCGAATGGGGTGAATTGAACTTGGTTCAATTCTACCCGATAAAGACACAAGTTTGCGCGTTCACTGCGAAGAAGGACCCTTTTGTCATGGCGCCGCAATTCCAAGGAGTATCCTTACAACCTTCCGAGAGTATTGGGATACTTGGGGTCGACATTTCGAGCGATGTCCAGTTTCGGAGTCATCTGGAAGGCAAAGCCAAGTTGACGTCCAAAATGCTGGGAGTCCTCAACAGAGCGAAGCGGTACTTNATGAAATTTTCCACACTTATAGAGAATATAGAGAAGAAGCGCACAATGCTAATATTTTTTTTAAATAATGCATAAAAGATACATTAAATCAATAAAGAAAACATTACACACACTACATACCATGTATTTGACGCACACACGCATGCATACTATTTATTGTCAAACTTTTGTTCTTGACGTCTGTTGTCAAATTGAGAATACATTAAATATTGTTTGTCTTTGTTAATATTTTTTAAAGTGTAGTCTTGGCAAAATTTGTGATTATAGAAGTATACAATCATAATAGTGTACAAACTTACAATTCCAATTAATTATAGTCGAATTTCGACTACTGCGGGACCTCTAGTATGTATAATAACATCCATTAAATAGTGGAGAAATCAATAATAAATTACAGTTTCCGAAGCGAAGCGAGGGCGGGTCGCTAGTAATATTATAAAACTGAAGCGTTTGTTTGTTTGAACGCGCTAATCTCAGGAACTACTGATCCGATTTGAAAAACTATTTCAGTGTTACATAGCCCATTTATTGAGGAAGGCTATATAACATCGCGCTAAACCAATACAAGCGGAGCACCAATAAATAATGTTTCAAAATCGAGGTTTTTTTCCCTTTTGAGGGCTTCCGCTGCGTGCGCTGCAGAAACAGTTAAAGTTTCGCTAAAATAATGTATGACAGAATTGTTCCCCTTTAAAAGATCTAAAAAAAGTCCACGACAGCGTACGTCCATATGTTAAGGTTGGCTCACTATAACGTATTTTTATGCTAACCATTTTTTTTCTAAAATAAAACATTATATTGTGAACTTTCATGTGGACGAAGTCGTGGGCAAAAGCTAGTCGTTTATATAGCTCTTGGCACCGAGTAAGGTAGGACGGTAGTAAAGAAGGACTCGGTAGCGACATTCAGGTTGAGAAGTACGCAGTAAGCAGTGAAATGCTGAACAATACGGAGACGTGAATTGAGCTACCCATCTTAGCCAACGCCACACAGGCCGAGTGGTCTCTGTCCCCGGCGCTCTCCCACATCCACCGTGATGCAGACAGTCTAGTGCAGAAGACAACAACACCGCACTACTCCGCTGTGTACTATTCTTTTTTTTATTGCTTAAATGGGTGGACGAGCTTACAGCCCACCTGGTGTTAAGTGGTTACTGAAGCCCATAGACATCTAAAACGTAAATGCGCCACCCACCTTGAGATATAAGTTCTAAGAACTCAGTATAGCAAAAAAAGGCAGGGTGGTGGTACCTTTTTTTTTTTTTTTAACGCTGGGGAATCCATTTACGGATACCCGGTCGAGAGGGGTAATAGACCGGGTTATGTCGGACTCCGGCGCCTCCAGAGAAGAAGAGGGAGAAGAGGAAGACCAAAGTCCTCCTCTTCTTCCAATTCCTACCGGGAGACTACGCCTTGAGAAAGGCGCGCGAGGCGCTGCGCGGCGTCTACCACGCAGGACCCGCCCCGCAAAACCGACTACCGACTAAACCCCATCGAGCTCCACCACTCCGACTCCACGAAACCTACGGTACCGCACAATGCGCGCCGCAGGCTCGCCGTCGCCGGTACCCATCCTGACAATAGGACGGGATCCAATCCCCGGGAAGATCCCGCAGGACGTCGTCTCAGGAGACACCGTGAGTGGCGCATAGGAGCCACCTTGCGCCGCCTCACCACGGAACCGACAGCAGAGCACCGGGCGCCCCCGCACCCAGTACCCAACAGTCCCTACGGGAGATTAACGGGAGCATCGTGCCCGCGTCGCCCACCCCGCCTTCTTCGCTGAGGAGCCGAAGAGGGATTCCACTCCCTTTCGCGCTCCTCAGCCTCGCGGAACGCCATGACCAGGTCGCAAAATCTGGCCATGGCCTCCCACGAACTCTCGTCCTCTAGCATGCGGGCAATGACAGCCCGCAAGGAGAGGTCCCTCCCCAGCACCGCGATGAGATCTCGCCGCGGGTGCTCCCAACGCGGGCACGCTTCGAGTGCGTGCTGAGCGTCATCATCCGGATGCCCGCACTGGTGACAACCCGGATGTGGCTCTCTCCTGCAAACCCTCCACAGGTACCTCCCGAAGCAGCCATGCCCCGAGANTATATTATCACCAAAGATTTGGATTAACAATTAATAATAACAGAATGTGTTGCCGCTAACCAATTGTGTGGCACTTAATAAAATCCTGCGTTCTCATTGGTCCATTTGAATCGGATCAACACGTGTAAAATTCCAAAAAGGTGGATTTGTATAAAAATGGCATAATTATTATTCTTAAATGCGGCGACACTAGTTGATCCCTTTGGAGCCACATACGGATGGTGAACATATAAAGGATCAAATAATACTGCCCGGATCAACTAGTGAAAATGGATCAAACAAAAACTACTTGTACGGCACGTTTGATCAACTAAGTGTGGATTGGGATCTCTATATATGTATATTAGTATATATGTATATGTATATGTGGTTCTATTTCTCTGATAAATGTGTTATATTTTTAAGTTGTGTTTAAGTGTGTATATGAATATGTATGTGAATATGTGAGTATATGATAGAGATTATATATAGATATATGTGTAGATTTTATATTATTATCATGATATAAAATTGTGTACGCTGTTTATGTGATATATATATATAAACCGTGTATGTGTTTGTATATTGTATAATGTAGTTTGGTTGTTTGACATTAAGTTATGCACCTACCACAGGATTCTCTACACCACCCTTGGTTGACTGGTAGAGAATGCCTCAGGCATTAAGTCCGCCATTGTACTTATGTGCATTAAGTTGAATAAATAAATAAATAAAAGTGAACGCCGCCGTAGCCGTCTTCTGAATGGAAGCCTGTAGGAGTCGACTTGTGTAGCGTCTAGCCGCTAGCGTATACTATATGACGATAGACAGCTTGCCAGTGTCTACAAGCTTTCCAGGCAGTTCAGCTGCGTGGCTCTGCCGCTCTTTCAAGCGAGGCTTGTGGAGAGTACCTACTTGACGGTAAGCAGCGGCTTGACTCTGCCCCTGGCATTACTGAGGTCCGTGGGCGACGGTAACCACTCACCATTAGGTGGGCCGTATGCTCGCATGCCTACAGGAGCAATCAAAAAAACCTATGCAATTATAATTTGACAATAATAATTTAATATCAAAACAATAATAAAATAAGACCACGCTATATTTATAAACATTAACAAAAGCAAAACATTAACTGTCCCCTTCACACTCATAACCTAGACCGCGCGAGAGAGAGATGGGCGGACTTTTCATGATGCGCATGCGGCAGTGCGACCTCACGCCGCGCGCTTACTCACAAACACTACACAAGCGCAACGTGTGAATGTGTTGAACGCGAGCTACATGGTAGGCGGAAAGGTGTTAGCTTGTTTTTGGTTACGGAATTTCTTGATTCGGTCGCCGCGCTCAAAGCCCGCGATAAAATCTATGCAATAGCTTAATAAAATAGACCTTCCGAACATGCGTCGGAGCGTCACAGCGGCGTTGCGGATAACCGCGAAATCGTCGCTTCTAGACAGTGCACAACAAATTGTTGTCGAAGATATACGCAAAGGGATTTTGTCGCGACAAATTAGAGCGTAAACTTTTTTAGTATTTCACTAACTGACCCGGCAGACTTCGTAGTGCCTCAATCGATAAATAAAATACCTCAACTTTTGTATAAAATAAACTTAAAACAAACAAAAACCATCGGTCCGACGGGGGTCCGACACATTAAAGGAAAAACAAAATTGTTATTTTTATTTAATTCCGAGTATTTTCATATTTAAATCTACCTTTTAAACCTTCTCTGGACTTCTACAAATAATTCAAGACCAAAATTAGCCAAATAGGTCCGGCCGTTCTCGAGTTTTAGCGAGACTAACGAAGAGCAATTCATTTTGAAGTTATACTTCTTTATGCGCGTTATGAAAAATTGATGAGGGTGAAATTTTACGATGCGCTCGCACCGTGACACAAAATTAACAGAATGAAGTTGCCCACTAAATCGCTCATTACAATACGACCAACGTAACTTGGCGAGTCTGAATATAGCCGCAGGTGAACTTTCCGAACCGTACAGAGAATTACCGAATTTATACGATGTCAAGAAAAGGGTCCAATGTCCAATATGCGTGTTTGAGGATGTTGTTTAATCGTTTTTTTTTTTTCAAATTGATTAAAATTTAAATAAAAAAAATAAAAAAATTAATAAAAATAAAGTATAACTTCTTACGCGCGTACATAAGTACACGAACCCTTTTTTTATATATATTTCATTATTTGTCGAAATGATCTTAAATATGCAAAGATGTTAAAAGCAAAACTTTGTAGGCCAGGCCGTCGATAAGTGAGGAACTTACCAGGAAAAACGCAATACGTTCCAAACTCCACTTTCTTCCCGATAACTCCAAGAAAGGGATAATTGATTTTGAGGCTTTGAAGTAAGCATTCTTCGTACATATCCCAGATGTGAATCGTCTGGAAAGACCACACATAGAATTTTCATTATCTTCAGTTAGCAGTCTTAAAAAAACTAAGCAACTAGAATATTGAGATAATTTTCAGTAGCAGAACTATTAGAAAGGAAATCTTAATTCGTCCCACACAAATGCTTGCAGGCCTCAGTCAGAAAAGTCGCCTTTACTGTTACCCTCCCAAGAATTTACGCGGAGCTCTTGCAGTAAGCTAACTAGCATGAACAGTAGCTACTCACACAATTCCCACAGTAAGCCATGACCACCTGCAGTTGTGTCAGCACTGCCACGCCCAGGACTGGTGGCGCTGTGGGGGCGGCGAGGGTCGCGTGCGGCGCGCTCTGTGTGGGCTCCCAGAGCCGCACCAAGCCATCCGGCCCACCCGTCACCACCAGGCGGAGCGACGGGACTATGTCGAAGCAGGAGACGCCCTAGAGGTTTTGAATATCAAAGAACAACCTTATGTACTCCGCGGACAATCTTTGTGAATGAATATTTATAATCACTAGATAGTATAAAACAAAGTCCCTTCTCTGTCCCTATATCCCTATGTATGCTTAAATCTTTAAAACTAAGCAACGGATTTTGATGCGGTTTTTTTTAGTTGATAAACTGATTGAAGAGGAAGGTTTATCTATATATTAATACGTGAAGCAAAAACTTTGTATCCCTTTTTACGAAAATTGCGCGGACGGAGGAGTATGAAATTTTCCACACTTATAGAGAATATAGAGAAGAAGCGCACAATGCTAATATTTTTTTTAAATAATGCATAAAAGATACATTAAATCAATAAAGAAAACATTACACACACTACATACCATGTATTTGACGCACACACGCATGCATACTATTTATTGTCAAACTTTTGTTCTTGACGTCTGTTGTCAAATTGAGAATAGATTAAATATTGTTTGTCTTTGTTAATATTTTTTAAAGTGTAGTCTTGGCAAAATTTGTGATTATAGAAGTATACAATCATAATAGTGTACAAACTTACAATTCCAATTAATTATAGTCGAATTTCGACTACTGCGGGACCTCTAGTATGTANAGAACCACCCTTCAGCAAGTGAAGGGGGAGGAGAGCGTGTAACCCCCGATGCTGGTTTTGGTCCGCGTCGCTCAATCTCTCCCGCCGTAACACAACGAGAGAGAAGGAGCGATGCCCCTGTGACTATTGCCCAGAGGCCCGTGATCCGCCACCTACGGACGCGCCCGGTCGAAGTCCAGCAACTCCCCCGCAGACGAGACCCACAGCACGCAGAGTGCGCGCTGCAAGCTCGTCCACGACCGGGAGGGTGGTGGTACCTACCCGCGCGGACTCACAAAACGTCCTACCACCAGTATTAATCTTTACTTCCAGCGTTGTCGTTCGAGATGCTCACCCTGTGGACCCGGAACGTGTAATCATTCAATTTTCCCGATACGTGTTTGATCCTGACGCTAACAGTATTGTCCAGAGAACAGGACACGAGGACGTCTCGCTGTGTGTACATAACGCGACGGACACTCCGCCGGTGGGCACGGTGGGACGATATCTGAACGTGACTCGTGTGGGGAGGGGAGAGTAACTCCTGAAATACAGTTTGATTTAATATATTCGAGAGTCCTATATTTACATGACCTTGGGCGTAGTGTGGGCTCTCACTAACCATCCAAAAGTAATAATTAATAGCGTCGCTGGTCTTGCTGTAGATGAACTGAACTCTTGGCTGCGAGAACAGCATCCTTGTTACTTGACCTCGTTCATTGCCCAGAGCCAACTCAGAAGAATCACTAGCTTTCCTGGATGGACTGTATCCTAGACACTGAAAGTTATAAATATAAATGAAAATGGAAAGCAGTCGACGTCGCCCAAAACACGTCATTTCGGATCCTCCCGATCCACTAACGGTGCTTTTAGGTACCTCAAGCACCGGTCATCGTTCTCAAGGGCTCGACAAGTAAATCAACCCTCAGACACAGCCCACTGAGTTTCTCGCCGGGTTTTCTCAGTGGGTCGCGTTTCGGATCCGGTGGTAAATTCTGCGAAGCGCAGCTCTTGCTAGGGTTCGTGTTAGCAACGTCGTCAGGTTTGAGCCCCGCGAGCTCACCTACTAGTTAAGGTTACGCTGAAATAGTCTCTCAAGGCCATCATGTTAGGTAGAAAAAAAAACTGATGGCCGTGTTGAGATCTTTGTGTTCCTGATTTCAAACCGGACGCATATTGCGCCAGAGGGCTGCTAATGTCGCTGCTGAGAGGTCGCGAGCCAAACGGGCCTTTGAAATAGAACCAAGCCTTGGCAGCTCGCCACTGCGGTACTAGGAATCAACCAAACTGTGGAAAATACCCTATGTTCGCTTGTGATGGACCTCAGTCTTACCTTTCTTACAAATCAATCACTATCATAATTAGTAAAGATTTTTCTCACTAAAGTAACTTTGCTTAAGAATTGTACTCGAGACAGATTAGTCAATCGTTGGAAGTGACGAAAATAAACTTACTGTAGGTATGTTCGGTAAGCCGGTGATACAATACAAGGCTGTATGTGATAGAGTGCTAGCGTCATATACGGTCAGGCTGCGGTCTGACGCTGCTATCATGATGTACTGGACGTCCTAGATTAATTCAGTCAAATTGTAGGAAGTCTGCTGCAGATACAACTAATACGATCAAGATTGAAGTCATCGCGGAAATACGTGAGGTGTACACGGGCTGGCACCAATACTATACTACTATAATATAATAACTATACTGAGACCCTTAGAACTTATATCTCAAGGTGGGTGGCGCATTTACGTTGTAGATGACTATGGGCTCCAGTAACCACTTAAGACCAGGTGGGCTGTAAGCTCGTCCACCCAAGTAAGCAATAAACTACGACTTACGACTAATTTCGACGATGAATGAATCATAAAATAAAACATATAGATAATATATATAATATGCGTAATGACTAGTCCTACTTATTGCTGTCGCGAATCAGGAATGTTTTGCAGTATAGCACCAGGATAGCACAGTTGTTGTATTGAAACCTAGACCTCATGTTTCAAGGTAACAGCATTCACGCAATGATTAATGTCCACATATACAGTAGCCACTTAATAGTAGATGTGCCTCTATCACCCGTCGCAAGTAAAGTGTAAGTTTCCAATTATCAGAAACTTCATAACAGTGCTGTCGAGTAAATGAAATACTCAAAACGATGAGCTCACAGTGAGATACAGAGCATCGGTGACCCAGCGGTTCTTGACCTGTCCCCTGTGACCCGTTCTCTGGTAAAACATCTCGTACGAGTGCAGCAGCCCCAGGGCTCCGTCGTACACGCCGACCCGCCCCCCCTTCGACACGGCGACGTAACAGAACGTGCTCTCCGTCTCCACGTTCAACAGTTTCACTATCGGTTCTCTCTGGAACAGTGTGCTTGGTGCAAGTTTTTTAACGTTCTCAAGTTTTTTTTCCTACCTAAGTTGATAGCCTTGAGAGGCTATTTCAGCATAACCTTAACTAGTAGGTGAGCTCACGGGGCTCAAACCTGACGACGTTGCTAACACGAACCCTAGCAAGAGCCGTGCTTCGCAGAATCTACTACCGAATAAAAATCGCGACCCGCCGAGAAGATCCGGCGAGAAACTCACGGACTGATGCTTAGGTTAGGTTGCACGACGAACTCTTTGACGAGTTCGACGAGTATGATTACTGGGGTCCCTGAGCCTGCTCCTAGTGTTAGGGCTAATGTTGATACTCTAGACATTTCTGACTATTCCTGGATTGATGACGAGTATTTTCAGGGTGCGTACCTTACAATGCTTGAGTTGTACCATGTCAGAGCACTCGACTGGTTCCCACGCGTCCCTGCGGCCCGTGGACCGCGCCCCGGCTGCCACCAGCCTCTCCACCAGCCGCACCCAGCGAGCCTTGCCGGTGCACAGAGGGTCCAGCATACGGAACAACTTGTGAGCGTGAGTGGCGTATTTATGATTACCTAGAATCATTTGTTGTTATTGATTTACCTAAGCCGACGAGCTCATGACCCTTCCAATGCTAAATCTAATCGTGTCTACTTAAAATCAAATTTTGGAATTTGGACTTTGTGATTTCCTTTAGCTAATGAACCACTTACGGGCGGTTCATGAGTTGTCTGTCTATCCACAACAACAAATAATTATAGTTCTAAAGCTTTAATAACTTGGTGATACTGAACGAGGTATCCCATATTTTAATTAAATTAAGTGTAGTTAGAGTCGTTAGAGAAATATCATTTGTATTGTCATTTTTCCTCGATATGTGTCAATTTTAAAGTTAATCGAACGTCTTAAAGTTGGTGAAAGATTAAAAGATGCCATTACTTATGTACAGTATAATGGAAGCGAATAAAAGTGTCTTGTGCTTATAAGCAGCTTGCTCGTTAGTTAGCGACATCTAGTGGAGGAGCTTCAAAAACATAAGATTTGAAATTGTCTATAGCGACCTCTATCGGATATAATTTGAAACATCTGAAACAATTATGACGAAAGCGCCACCTGTTGTGCTTTTATTATACTTCATCCGAAATGCCAACAACTGTCAACAACTGTCAGCCGTATCAAACTTCAACTCAATCGTACAAACAAACAAATAAGGTCCCACATACTACATACTCATTCTCATCTATCTATATATTAATACGTGAAGCAAAAATTTTGTATCCCTTTTTACGAAAATTGCGCGGACGGAGGAGTTTGAAATTTTCCACACTTATAGAGAATATCGAGAAGAAGTGCACAATGCTAATATTTTTTTCAAATAATGCATAAAAGATACATTAAATCAATAAATAAAACATTACCCACACTACCATGTATTTGACACACACATATACATATATATAAATGTACTCTTTGTTTATTGTCAATTGTCAAACTTTTGTTAGTGTTTATAGTCTGTGGTCAAATTGAGAATAGATGAATATTGTGACTTTTTGGCGGGAACGCGAGGAGTGAAGTAGTGTGATTTGTTTTATTTTGTCTATTTCGTGTTTCTTCGGGTTTAAATGTGTAATAATGGTGGTTTATTAACCGTTTAATATCTGTGAAAGTGCACAAATGTGGGAAAATGAAACAAAGCCGCTGGACGTAACTTCTCGGGATCCTCCAAAAAGTCCACTGAAAAATCTTAGTAAATGACCACCATTTTACTGAGATTAGATTTCATCTCATATCATCTCATTTAATTTCATCCTANTGTGTATGAAAGCTCTTGTAGTGAATTTTAATTTAGGATTATACGTGAAATTAAAATATCAATTCACAGAGGGCGCTACCTTACAATTATTTACTAATGACAAAATTTTACATATACTTAAGACGTTTAGGATAATTGTATTTTAATTTTGGAAGGTTTCACTTCTACCACGTGTGAATTGCACACATTTTGTTTTTTTCTTCCTACCTAAGTTGATAGCCTTGAGAGGCTATTTCAGCGTAACCTTATCTAGTAGGTGAGCTCACGGGGCTCAAACCTGACCACGTTGTTAACACGAACCCTAGCAAGAGTCGTGCTTCGCAGAATCTACTACCGAATAGGAATCGCGACCCGCCGAGAAGATCCGGCGAGAAACTCACCGGACTGATGCTTAGGTTGGGTTGCACGACGAACTCTTTGTCGAGTTCGACGAGTACGGTTACCGGGGTCCCTAAGCCTGCTCCTAGTGTTAGAGCAAATGGTGATACTCTAGATATTTCTGACTATTCCTAGAGTTGGTTTACTGGTGGTAGGACCTCTTCTGAGTCCGCACGGGTAGGTACCACCACCCCGCCTATTTCTGTCGTGAAGCAGTAATGCGTTTCGGTTTGAAGGGCGGGGCAGCCGTTGTAACTATACTGAGAACATAGAACTTATATCTCAAGGTGGGTGGCGCATTTACGTTGTAGATGTCTATGGGCTCCAGTAACTACTTAACACCAGGTGGGCTGTGAGCTCGTCCACCCATCTAAGCAATAAATAAATAAAAAGTTGGAGACGAGTAGGTAGGTATTGTCAGGGCGCGTACCTTACAATGCTTGAGTTGTACCATGTCACAGCACTCGACCGGTTCCCACGCGTCCCTGCGGCCCGTGGACCGCGCCCCGGCCGCCACCAGCCTCTCCACCAGCCGCACCCAGCGAGCCTTGCCGGTGCACAGAGGGTCCAGCATACGGAACAACTTGTGAGCGTGAGTAGCGTATCTATGATTACCTAGAATCATAATTATTGAGTTACCTAAGCCGACGAGCTCACGGCCGTCTGGTGTACTGCTAAGTGACATGGTCACTACACAAGGGGGTCGCGGGTTCGAATCCCGCCAAGAGAAGATATTTGTATAATAAATATAAAATGTCTTTTCCAGGGTTATGGATGTATATTAAATATATTACATATAGACATATAATATATTAAATATTATGTATGTGTATAATAAAAATCTTACATTTATTTCCGTTATCTGGTACCTGTAACACAATTTCTTCACGAACTTAGCACGAGACCAGTAACGTGGCGTGATCGTTAGTAAATATATATTAATTTATAACTTTCCGATGCTAAATTTAGCCGTGTCTACTTCAAGTCATATGGTTGGAATTTGGAGTTTGTGATTTCCTTTAGCTCATAAACCACTTACCGGCGGCTCGTGAGCTGTCTATTTATCCACAACAACAAATAATGATAGTTCTAAAGCTATAATAGAAAGCCGAACTAAAATGTAAATACCCGGTATTACACAGACTTGGTAATACTGGACGAGGTATCCCATATTTTAATTAAATTAAGTGTAGTTAGAGTCGATAGAGAAATATAATTTTGTATTGTCATTTTCCCTTGATAAATGTCAATTTTCAAGTTAATCGAAAGGTTTAAAGTTGGTGAAAGATTAAAAGATATCATTACATGAGTAGATACAGTATAATAGAAACGAATGAAAGCGTCTTGAGCTTATAAGCAGCTTGCTCGTTAGTTAGCCGACATCTAGTGGAGGAGCTTCGAAAACATAAGGTTTGAAATTGTCTATAGCGATCTCTATCGGATATAATTTGAAACATCTGAATTAATTAAGACGAAAGCGCCACCTGTCGTGCGTTTATTATACTTCATACGAAATGCCAACAACAGCCGTTTCAAACTTCAACTCTATTGTACAAACAAACAAATAAGGTCCCACATACTCATTGTCGTATAACAATTAGTCGATATAACATACCGAATATATTGTTAACAGCTTTCACAAAGGAGGTCTCGTCGAGCCAGAGAGGGTCGGTCGCTGCGGCCGCGGGAGGACCGAACTCCACGCCCTCCTCTGCAGCAGCGGTGCGCATTACTTCCTCGATCTTTCTAAGTACAGAATCAATTGATGGAAAGTTTCGGGATACTTTACTGGTGGTAGGACCTCTTGTGAGTCCGCACGGGTAGGTACCATCGTCCTGCCTATTTCTGCCGTGAAGCAGCATGCGTTTCGGTTTGAAGGGCAGGGCAGCTGTTGTAACTATACTGACACCTTAGAAATTATATCTCAAGGTGGTTGGCGCATTTACGTTGTAGATGTCTATGGACCCCAGAAACCACTTAACATCAGGTGGTCTGTGAGCTCGTCCATTCATCAAAGCAATAAATTAAAAAAATACAGTTAATGTGCACAAGACGCACCTTCTGTGATAAGCGTTAACGTTACACAAACCATTGCGTCATCATACCTAAACGTAAAGACAGTAAAGTAATTGTTTATTTGAACCGTCTGCATGTACGTACCTAAGTGCGCTTAGGTTATGGTTGCCTTATGTAAATAAAACCAGTTATATAGTTCCAAATTCATACATGCAAAATTCATATCTCAAATGTTTGCCGCGCCGGGCGGGCTATGTACGACTTATGTCAATATATTATAAGATAAACATTTTTGTATGATATACCTGAACTGTGTCCCTACAGTAAATTTAAATTATATTAATCAAAAATCTCATATATTGTATATTACTTATTGTGGTGTAAAGTATTTTAATCGTTTAGATCTATTGTAAGAAACCTGTCAATGTCGCGCTCCCTGCTCTTGTCCTTAGTTTTCTTGAAGCATCGTCTCAATTTACTGAGGAAGGCGGGCGTCATTCTCTTCATCAGCTCTCTGGCCAATTCTTCATCTTCGTCATCACTAGAATATTAGAATTAAACACTTAGAATTTATTGACGATCATTGCTTACCAGCTATGTCAAGGAAGATTTACATTTTTGCAACGTATATTTTTTATTTATGATTGAAGGATTACTGGTGGCCTGGAGGCCTTTCCAGTTTCACCAGGAAGGTGGGCGAGCAAAGGCTCAGCCAGGAGGGGTGGGATTTGCTAGCAGCTGCCCGAGCGCCTCCGAAGGAGACCTAACATCTCAAAAGCAGCTGCTTCGCGAATGAATCTACTACCGGATCGGAATCGCGACCCGCTGAGAAGATCCGCGAGAAACTCAGCGAGCTGATTTATGGGTTAAGTTGCACGACGAACTCTGTCGAGTTTGACGAGTACGGTTACCGTGGTCCCTAAGCCTGCTCCTAATGTTAGAGCTGAAGGCGTCTAATGCAAAGGTTATTGGATCTGATGGATCCGTAAGGACGAACGTATATTGAAGCATATTTGCAAATATAAAGTGGCAGCGCTTTTTTGCATCATTATTAGTAGTAGGTGGGTGGCGCATTAACGTTGTGGATGTCTATGGGCTCCAGTAACCACTTCTTAACACCAGGTGGGCTGTGAGCTCGTCCACCCATCTAAGCAATAAAAAAAAAAAAAAAAAGTACTTTTAACATCATTCTCCTGCCCTTCTCCCATTCACCTGGGTTCGGCGCAACATGTTTTCCATAGTCCTCTATCATTTACTATTTCTTCGCTCACTCCCCTCTTACACATATCGCTTTTCAGGCAATCCATCCATTTCTTCTTAGGTCTACCTCTTAAGTCTACCTAGTAGTGGTTTTAACATGTAACATTAATAAAAGTGCATATATATCATGCAGACAACTAACCATGATAAACTATCATCAGATGCACTTTTCACTGAGTAGCTTCTTTCGAATATCTCGGAACATTCTTCGTTTAAAGATTTCTGCGATTTTATAGACATTATTTCGTATACATTTAATGTTGCTTAAAGAAAGATTCTATATACCTAGTTTGTTTTATCGATACTGTTGCATTACAGAATTTTTTGGAACACTGCCCTCTAGCACTGAGTTATGGAACTATTTAAAAATGAGTTCGCTTTGTTATTGCTGTCATCTAGTGTGAATGTCAGATAGATATACATCTAGATGTATTTAATGCAGCGTTCTGTAAAACTACAGTTTAAATGACGATAGATGGCGCTAACTGGAACAAGAAGCACCTGAAACGGAAAAAAATATATTCAAAAATAGCTTACCTCCTATTACCTGAATCAATTATATAGTCATTTCAAATTGCTATTTCTGTTTTTAGTCGTATTTTCAGATCAAGGCTATATGTCTGATAGTAGCATTTTGTTTTTGACTTTTAGTAGCAGAATACTAAGAATAACAAAACAAAAGCAAGTGTCGCACAGAGCTTTCGAAGTATTTAATAACATTGAAGACAGGGGAGCATCATCAACTCTGGTTACTACTCCAATAACATTTTAATTATTAAAATAATTACGTAATCTTCTATTAATAGGCTCTATCAATCATAATCAATTGGCTCTCAAATTTACCTATTTTTTTATTTTTTATTTATTTCATTTACTTCAGATTATACATCCATATTACCTTCATTAACAATAACATTTCATTTAGTATACCAAAATTAAATAAAAACAATAACTACAATTTCGGAATAAAATAAAATTAATAATAATAATCCATTGTCTATCTGTATAACAAACAATGATAAAATCGTATTGTGTTTACGCTGAGTATTTAACCATTTCTTCCGTCAAACCACTTATTAGGCTTTGTCCGATTTGCCAACCAAATTTTCAGAAACCAACCAATTAAACTCGTAATGAGCGATGTCAAACGACATGATTTATAACTTATAAATAATATCAATAATTAAAGATTCAGCTGTCGTTCTTAGAGACCTGTGAGTTTTTTTACCTGGCGTGTCCCACAAGTGGGCAGTCTTCCTTTTCTTTCCACGACGGAGGAAAGAATTTAAATTTTCATTTGGAGTCCAGTGTCCCGAGCCCCGTGGTGGCACCGCGCTACCATGTAATTGTCAGGGTATGACAGTAGAGTGACGTCATAATGGCGGAGTCGTGTCCGAGCCGCGCCCCGGGGACCGGTGGGCGGGGCTCGCTTACTGCGCGCAGGGTTGCTACTTGATGCAGTTAGAAATTATATTTATTGAGTGTTCAGATATCTGTTATACCGATTATTGCTCGAACAAACTGCAACAGTTCGAGCTTACGGCTCAGGTGGTGTTAGGTGGTCACCCGAGTCCGTAGACATCAACGGAGCAAAATTTTTTTTATTGCTTAGATGGGTGGACGAGCTCACAGCCCACCTGGTGTTAAGCGGTTACTGGAGCCCATAGACATCTACAACGTAAATGCGCCACCCGCCTTAAGATATAAGTTCTAAGGTCTCAGTATAGTTACAACTGCTGCCCCATCCTTCAAAGCGAAACGCATGTCCTACCACCAGTAATTACGCAAATTATAATTTTGCGGGTTTGATTTTTATTACACGGTGTTATTCCTTCAACGTGGAAGTCAATCGTGAACATTTGTTGAGTACGTATTTCATTAGAAAAATTGGTACCCGCCTGCGGGATTCGAACACCGTTGCATCGCTAGATACGAATGCACCGGACGTCTTATCCTTTAGGCCACGACCACGTCCGTTTATACCGTTTTTAAATAGTATTAATCACTCTACATTCTACAGGACATAACGGAAGTTTCCCAAGCCGGAATAACATTAAAGTATAACCCTCGAATAAACGGAAAACAACATACGCTTACAAAACTCAGCAGAACAACTTGTCGTCAGAGTAAGTACATATTATATAAGCCGAACGCTATCCGAGATCGTTTTTTTATGATTGATTTATTACTGGTGGACCGGAGGCCTTTCCAGTTTCACCAGGACAGGTGGGCGAGGAAGAGTTCAGCCAGGAGGGCAATCCTCGGTCAGTCGAAGCCTTGATCGAAGCGAAGCGAAGTTTAGATCGCATTGCATTGCGTACTATGCAGATCGAAATGTCAACGACAAATACTCGAATGCTATTTTTAGTATTGTAATATCCGTCACCAGGTCTACCAGGTCCACCAAGGTTCGTTAAGAGAAACTATTCCAATATGTAATGTATTCGTACTAAGTAGATATTAAGTAGCCGATAAACCCCCCCTACCTCATTCGGGTTCTGACCTCGAAGGGGATCGGACGCTTGGGCGAAGAGTGCAGGGGAGTCGTTTAGTGGGTGGGCCCTAAAATTCCTTGGGCCCGCGGTCTGCTCCCAACACCTTGCACGTCAAGTCCCAAATACCCCGCGCGCCACCAAAAAAAAAGGTAGCCGATAAAACAAGCAATCAATATTAGTTTCTTGCACACAATTATTGAAACCACTACATAATATCGCAGTGTCAACCCTACAACGTAGAGTCCACAGAGTAATGAATTCCCCTGAGATAGAACAACGCAATTCATTACCCTCGCACTGTAGCGCCGGTTGAACACGGAAACTTCATTAGACTGTGTACCGATTCCGCAATTTGGATACGGACTGTGATGTCTCCATGTACGACCTCGACTGATGGGCTACCAAGTAAAAAAGCAGTCCGATTGGTGAACAAGATGAAGACTCTAAGGTTATATACCTATAATATACACGTCCTTACGGATCCATCAGATCCAATAACCTTTCCATTAGACGCCTTCAGCTGTAATACTAAGCAGGCTGAGGAACCCCGGTAGCCGTACTCGTCGAACTCGACAAAGAGGTCGATGTGCAACCTAACCCATGCATCAGCCCGCTGAGTTTCTCGCCGGATCTTCTCAGCGGGTCGCGATTCCGATCCGGTAGTAGATTCATTCGCGAAGCAATTGCTCTTGAGTTGTTAGGTCTCCTTCGGAGGCACTCGGGCAGTTGTTAGCAAATCCCACCCCTCCTGGCTGAGCCTTTGCTCGCCCACCTGTCCTGGTGAAACTGGAAAGGCCCTCGGGCCACCAGAAAACTTTTAATCATAAAAAAACCTATACTATCAAGAGTAGCGGGACTCAGAAGGGTCTTTTGGTATATTACAGCCCCTAACCCTGCATGGACAATATCCATAGATTGCCCTCCACAATCTTCATACAATCGGATATGTTGCCTACATTTTTGCATCACCCCCTGTGAGAGCAGCCGGCAACTCTGAAACTAATGACATCACAAATGTTTTTCTTTAGTTACAACTAAGTGGAAACTTGCCTTCCCTTTTTTTATTATTTAAACTATTTAAATGACAAAACCGGTGAAAAAAAACTATAGCTTAGTTGTTAAACGATGAGCAAACACGACCAACAGTCACCGATCACCGGTGAAACAATTCCGGAGGTGTTAAAATCATTTCAACTGACGACGTAATGATAATTGAGTTACGGACTGAAATGATATGTCCCTGTTTACACTGGACGATTCCGTCAACTATGAAGGTAAACAATTGTGATACCGTTTTTATTTTAATTGGGTGGTTTAGTGGAATTTTGGGGTCTGATGTGCAAGCGGCCTCACTACGGCTTACTGCCATACACCACGTGATTATTATTATTATAATTTTTTATTTCTTAGATGGATGGACGAGCTCACGGCCCACCTGGTATTAAGTGGTTACCGGAGCCCATAGACAGCTACAACATAAATGCCGCCACCCACCTTGAGATAAGAGTTCTAAGGTCTCACTATAGTTACAACGGCTGCCCCACCCTTCAAACCGAAACGCATTACTGCTTCACGGCAGAAATAGGCAGAGTGGTGCTACCTACCCGTCCGGACTCACAGAGGTCCTACCACCAGTAATTACGCAAATTATAATTTTGCGGGATTAAAAGAAAACGTCTCAACTTGTATAAAAGAATAACTCTTTATTGCCTACTAAGGCAACGGGACTTGTTCCTCCCGATGGTAAGTGATCGCCGTCGCTCATGGGCATCAGTAATACCAGGGGCAGAGCCAAGACGTTACCTACCCTCCCTTCTACAAGTATATAAAAGATAATATATAAGTATGTATGTAAAGTATCATTTACTGTGAAATACTTGTCATTGCCAAACGCGTAACGGAAGCCCGCTGGTGATGATAACTCTCAATTTAGCTACTCAAAGGTTTGTGAGTGGAGAAAGAGATTGAGGGTGGAATTTCTTAGCGTTTTCTGTCGTAAGGAAAACGGGCCTTCTTGTTTGAACGTAGAAGAGCAGGATGCCTGCAGCGCACGCTGTGGTAGAGAGGGATAGCGGCTCCCAATAATATAATAAACTAACATATGCCGTAGTCCGACGCCGGTCTACTTCTCAAGATGCTCTTTATGGACACATGTCATTAACAGTCGGCGGCGCGTGATCTCAAACAGTCGAAAGTGACCGCCATACAGGATGCCGTGACGTCATACTAGACATTATAAAACTCTCTGTCAAGAAAATACCGGGAACAGATCAATAATACCTACACAAAAAGTTAGTTATTTATTCAAATTTTTGGAACGAAGTTCCTTATGGGAAATTGCGGAGGGGTACCCTAACTGGAAAAAAACGTCCGTAACGTAAGATTTTTATTATTTATGTATAGTCTTAGTATGATGGCTATACAGTGTCTAATGTATAGTCTACGTGATGATTATTGTTATTATTCACATAAATAGCTGTTTTTTTGTATATTATTATTATATATTTTTTATAAATCATTGTGAATAAAATAAAGTTGATAACTTTGTAAAGCAGTTTTTTTTATCAATAAAAAACCATAATAAAAAATGTATTCCCGAATAATTATTTTCTTTATACCTACCTCGAATAGAACTTAAATTAATATTTTTATAATAAGGAACTTCGTTCCTATCCGGTGTCCCACGACACCACACATCTTTTTTTTTTATCTGCCTCGAAGTATGCTTCCTTCATACGGCTACGCCAACAAA